TTTTTTTTTTTTTGCAGAACTGGGGATGGAACTCAGGTCCTTGTGCTTGCCAGGGAAGTGCTTATTCCACTGAGCCATCTCCGTGGCCCCTATATTAATATTTTAAAAGAGAAATGGTATTAAGAAATTGGGGTGGGGAGGTATTCATACACTTTGTAGAAATTCATAATTATGACTTCACAAATAACACTGTTGAATAGCTGTAAGATATGAGAAGAGTTATGCAGGATTTTAACCTTATACAACCATTCTTTTTTATTTTAAAGAGGAAAACAAAAGCAAATAATGGACAAAGATAAAGACAAAGCAACATAACACAATAAAAATAGTATAGGATTTCAAAACAAAAATAGAATTGTTTGTTTGTTTGTTTTTTTGAGATAGGGTCTTACTATGCAGTTCATGTTGGCCTTGAGCTCATTTTGTAGCCCAGGCTGATACTGGACTTGCAACAATCCTGCTGTGTCAGCCTCCTGAGTGTTGACATGTGTTATTATAGACATGTGTTACTACGCCTCACTAGGAATAGAAAATTAACAGTGTTTGTTATATTACGTATTGGTTTTTTTTTTTTATTTTAGGGAAGGGGCTAGAGTGTGTTCAGGGTCTCATTACTAGATCAGACTTGTAGTGATCCGCCTGTTTACAGCCTCCAAAGAGCTGGGATTACAGGCGCGCGCCACCACGCCCAGTCTCAATTGCTGTCTCCGCGCGCACCAGGGTCGGGGCCAGCATGGCAGGTACACGGATTCAACCCCCGAGCCCCTGTGCCTGCTTGTAGGTGCTTTAATCCACTAAGCTATTTGGCCGGCCCTTTATATTACGTATTGTTGTCATCAAATTTGTTGTTCAGATTACCAGATAGATATAAGCATGTGAGAGTGACCAAACAGTTAAACATTAACTCTTCCTTTCAACAAATCTCATTTTGGGGGCTGGTGAGATGGCTCAGTGGTCTGGAGCACCTACTTGGAACAAGCTTGGCAAAGCACAGGGACCGCGGTTCAATCCCCCAGCACCACAGGCCAGCCAGCCCCGCCCCCTGGGGGGCTGAGCTGGCCACACACACACACACACACACACACACACACACAAATACACAAATTAAAAAAATAATTTAAAAAAAAAAACCTCATTTTTTTTCCTTTAAAAAAAAAAAAAAAACAAAACCCAAACCATTTGTGCAAAGGAAGGCGGTTTCCTTGGATTTTACAGAGGCCCAGTGCCAACTATCTTAGGAATGGCTCCATATGCAGGTGTCTCATTTTTTACTTTTGGTACTTTAAAGAATGTTGGGCTTTCCTATGCTCCTACCCTTCTTAGCAGACCTTCATCAGACAATCCTACTGTGTTAGTTTTGAAAGCTCACATCAGTTTACTTTGTGGTGGTGTTGCTGGAGCAAGAGCACAGACAGTATGCTCCCCAGTTGATGTAACTCGCTGGAGAAGGCAAGTAGGAACTGTTCTGCCAGAACCTGAACAGTGCCTTGCCATGTGGGGGACCGTGAAGTGTGTCTGCGGGAAGGGTGGGATCCGCGGGGAGCTGTACTGGGGTTTATCTCTGAATTATATTCGCTACATTCCTTCTTAAGCTGTGGCTCTTACAACATATAAACTTATAAGCAATTTTTGCACCTCAACTAAAAAAAAATTGTTGCTCGGGGTTTCGTTTTCTTTATAAACTCTCAGAAGGAAAAATTAAATGCAGGAGCAGCATTACTTGAATGGGATTACTTACCCTAGGGCAGGAAGCACTGCTTTCCTAATACTTGATTTTTTTCCTTCTAAGTCATAAATCAAAAGTGCCTAACTGACTTTTTGATGCCAATCATTATATCTTGGAGCACTGAAAAAAATTCCTTAACTGATGCTGGCTAATCAGTTAGGTTACTTGAAACTGGTCAAAAGTGTTATTTGGAAACGCTCCAGATTCTTTAAATTTTCTCTTTTTCATGGAGTTTTACATGTAATTTAAAAAGTCTCTGTATTTTTCACAGAGAATCTTTGTTTTCAGAAACAGAGTAGCACCACAATTGTTGTGTTGGGTGGTTTGGTATATACTAGAGAACTAAAAGTGAACTGTGATATAGCCATTAATGTAGACACGACCATCAAAGGATGTTTTTAAGCTGTTAGGTTATAATATGTAAACTACTTCTTCCATGTAAAGTCATTTTAGCACTATATAAACTTATGGAGAAGTACAAAATATGATTTGATTATTATCCTTTATATTAAGAAAATCAGTTAATATGTAAAATTCCACTTACTGTGTTTAGAGCACTTTTATGGTTTATTATAAGCATGACAGAATTAGGAAAAGAACAGTTAAAGTTCTCTATTTAAAAATAGTGATGTGCATGGGGAGAAAACATTCTCTCAGGCTTTCACAGAGAGCACATTGGCCAAGCAATGGCCGTGACTCATCCACATGGCTGCACTGACAAAGGTTCTACAATCTGGAGGTACAGGATCTCAGGATAAATCCTGAGGGCATTTCACTGACCTTCTCAGACCCAAAAGCTACAACTCTTGTTGCACAGGTCCTGCTTTACCTTGGTCTTAACCATCCAGTAGAAAAGTATGAAGACAAAATATAAGAAGTAAAGCCATGCTGTTATGTTGAGCTGTGGGGGACTCAGGTCAATAATTTCTGACATTGCCAGTTAAACAGAAGACCCAATGCTATTATGGGCTACTGGACTCTTTTAGAATATTTTGCTGAGTTTACACACCTATAATATTCAATAACGGAACTTAGAAAAAATGGGGTATACCGATGAATGTCCATTTTGTATCTGTGTATTCAAAGTGGTTAGGATAGATATATAGTTGCATTCTGAATGATTTGTTCTAATGGTGTTTGTAAATAGGATCTCAAGTCCACGTCTTGTACAGCAATTAACCACTAAGAAGAATATATGCAGTGTATTATTTGTTGAATCTGTACTTCCGATTTGATTTGAAACTGTCTCATTGCTGTTTATCAATAAAATTTTGAAAAAAATTAAAAAAAATAAAAATAGTGATGTGTAAAACTGATGTGATCTGGGTTTTCTTTGGTACCTGGAATCGTGGGGCCAGGGATATAGCTCAGTGGCATAAGTGCCTGCCTGGTAAGCACAAGTTCTACAGTTCAATCACAGTACTGTTAAAAAAAAAAGTATCCTTGGTATTGTGACTCAAACTCTGGACCTTGCACTTGCCAGGCAGGTGCTTGTGCCACTGAGCTATGTCCCTGGCCCCTGATGTGACCTTTAAGATACCAGAAAACTAAGTTGAAAATGTTATGTCTGCATCAGTTTTTCTTTCACATAAAAGCTGTCTTGTCATAGTTGTGCAGAAATTTGATGTACTAATTTCATTTTCAGTATCTTTATTTTAAAAATAAATGTATACCTTTGTATAATTTTTTTCAAAAAGAGTACTAGAAGGTAGAAATACATGTATTTCTAAAACTTTTTTTGTACATTTTCATTTGTGGTCCACACTGTAGCTTAACTATTGTCATTAAATCTTAAAATAATTAAAATACATAAAATAAATGTCAGTTATATTATCAATAAAAGTGAATGGCAAATATTTAAACAAGTTGTTATTTTAGATTTTATTTTCTCATTCTACATAAATATTCACTTTTTCTTTTTTTGTGGCTGGCTCAGCCTGCCCTGGGGGCAGGGCTGGCACCGCATGAGGTGCTGGGGATAGAACCTTTGTCCTTGTGTTTGCCTAAACAGGTACTTTAGATCACTGAGATATCTTGCCGGCCCAAATATTCACTCTTGTAATTAATTTTGTATTCTATTTCTCAAAGACATGTGGAACTACTCCCAGTATTGTAAGTCCTCTGCTCACTTTTGGGGTCCTGATGTATTCTTGGTGTTTTAGGCCCTGTTAAAATTTGGTTCTGCCCATTGGCTAAAAGATTACTTCAGTTCGGTTAAACCTTTGGGCAAGAATGCCTCATAGTGGGGCCCCAGTACTCCCATAATGTCTGGGTCTCATATTTAGTAATCACTGGGTTAAGGTGGTAATAGATAAATCTGTAAAGTTCCATTCCTCCAATGCAATTAGTCAGTAGTCACTGGAATAAAGATATTTTCACTGTGCAAATCTGTTCCCCAACAACTTTATTTTATGAAGTATAAACATCTGTTGATGACTTTTCTGAATTAATTATTCCACTGGGAGCTATGAAATGCAAATGGTCTGTTTTGTTTTTTGTTTTTTTGGTAATTTTGTGTTGATTTGCTGGAATCTTCTCAGAACCACGCTTTTCCTTATCAATTTCAGGACTGATTTAGTGTCAATCAAACATGGCTTAAAAGCATCGATTTAGTCCAAACTCCTCATTCACAAGTAAAAAATATTGAGGTTCATTTGAGAGTTGCACAAATGATACAGTAACTAAGAATTAAAAGCTACATTTTAAATTCCAAAAGTATATAAAAAGTCACCTTTTTGTTGCTGGGAGGAAGCACCCAATGCACACAACTTTAAGAAGGACAGGTTTATTCTGGCTCACGGTTTCAGAGATTCTAGTTCGAGGTCAGCTTAGTGCATTGCTTTTAGGCCTGTGGTGAGGCAGAGGCATTGGGTGGAGGGATGTGGCGGAGCAGAGCTGCTTGCCTCATGAAGGCAAAGGACAAGCAAGAGCCAAGTGAAGACGCGCCTTTCTCAGACACAATGCCACAACGCCCTCAGTGAGCAGCTTCCTCCAGCTAGGTCCCGCCTCCTTATGGCTCATTTGACTCGGAACTCTTCAATAGGTTAATCTCTCAGTGCGGCTGGCACCTTCTCAACCCAATCACCCCTTTAGGAGTCTTTAATCACAATGATAATCAAGATTTACCATCACAAAGAAGAAAAGTCTTTGCCTTGAAACAAGTGTGAAATATTAGAGTAGAGCACGCTGAACTTTTATAATATCTGTCAGCATTTCCTAGAATATCACACAGCTTGGAAAACATGGCAAAACTGGGCAAAATATTAGGAAACATTACAGTTCATCCAAAAACTAATCTGGGCCCTTAGCCTCTCAATGTGATGATTTAGTATGGCTCTGGAAGTTCTGGGGGAACAGAAGATAAATAAACAGGAAGTATAATGATTAGAGGTGGGAACACAAGATTACCTCTGTTACATACAGTTCAATACTCTTCCTAAAGAGCATTTTTCAAACTGTTTATTCTCAGGACTTCTGTACTCTGTTAGAATTTATGGAGGATGATAGGGAACTTTTGTTTATGTGGAAGTATATAAATTAAGGTAGAGAGATTTAAAAATACTTATTCATTCAAAAGTAACAACCAATTTACATATTAACATAAACAAAATACATTCTATGAAAAATAATTATGTTTTCTAATCCAAAAGAATTAGTAATAAAATTGCTGTTATTTTTAGAAGAGATTTTACAAATCTTTAATTATTGACCTAACGAAGACGTTGGAGCTCACATCTGTTCTGCTCTCAGAAGATAGGTGATTCACATATAAGGAAGTCTCATATTTTACTGGAAAAATGAGAGTTTTTTAAAAACTCTCTTTTAACTCATTTTTTTCAGTAAAATGTGAGTTAAAAGTCAAATGAGGTGTGTGGGACCACCTAGGGCCCGCTGGACCCTCACTCCAGCCAATGCACAGGCCCTGCATGAGTGGAACTTGCTCCATCAGACAGGCCTGATGTGAAACCCTGCGGAAGAACTTCCTGCAGAGAGGCCAGAGGCAAGACCCCCCAGCTGATCCAGAAGCAGAACATCTTGCCAGAGTGGCACGGCAGGTTCACTTCCAAGGGCGGCCACAGGAAGAAGTGGAACACAGCAGCCAGACCCAAGCACACCCACTTGGAAGAGTTTGAATTTGGTAGATCCACACTTGGTGCTAAGGTAATAACTCAACCAAAGGTTTACACCAAAGGTCAGAAGACAGTGCTATACAAAATGACAAAGAGAAGGAGCAAAATGCACTCTCAGGCCCCGAGTCCACCCAGAACAAATGCAGGAGATACTAGCATAGAAGAAATTGGAAAGCAACACACCTGAAATCTCTGAAATAATAGCATCTAAAGTAAAGAAACAACTGCAGAAAGGTATAGAGGAAATCAGATCAGAACTAATTTCTGAAGTAAAAAATAAATGATAACTATAATGAAAGGAGTACTAAGTACTTTTAAAGAAGACACTGATAAAAAAATAGAGAATAGAAAAATGATGGAATCCTTGACTGAGCAATATAGGAAAGAAATACAATGCATGAAGCAGATTCAAAGTGATATACAGATAAAAAATAAAGCCATATTAATATGCTGAGCTGTAAGAGGCTCAAGTCAACAACTTCTGACATTGCCAGTCCTATGGATAACTCACTACTATTATGGACTACTGGACTATATTGGAATATTTTGCTGAATTCACATACTTACAATATTTAGATGACAATGGAATACCCATCTCTGACAAAACTAAACAAAAAAGGGATACAAATGAAGGATCATTTGTATCTGTATATTCAAAACAGTTAGGATAGATATACAGCTACTTTCTTTTAATTCAATGAATAGAAATATTTGTGCTAATAGTATTTGTGGACA